CCTGCCCCCAGTTCCTGGCACTGGCTTCCCTCTGGGACCTGGAACTGGGCTTCCCTTGGGCAGCCAGCAGGCACCTGGGACCTGGGCTTCCCTCACAGCCATGGACATCTGGTCTAATTAGCATATTATGCTTTTATTATTATAGATGATTATTAATAGGACACAAACAAGTGGTAAAATAATGTAGATCACCTACTTTTGCATCAAGTTCACAGTGTATGTTTTCCCATCAATTACAATGTTGTAAGACACCTAGCAGGAGAGTATATTAAAAAAACAAAACAAAAAAACAAAGTGAGAAGAATATTAAAAAGGAAAACAATCATTTTATATTGACAATAATTGCACTCTAAAACACACTACTACAATAAAAAGAAAATATAATTTAATATTGATGTATTTCAATTTCTGCATACTGAAATATTGTTTTAACCATTTTCTTCTATTAATATCTGAAAATTAATGTGTCCTAATTTATGAAGGATATTTCATTTGAGTAAATGATTCTATAATGCAAATTTATTTAAAGTCATACAATTAAAGCTTTCATTTCACTGTATTCTCATCCCCATTGTTGACTTTGAGAGTCTATCAGTGTACTACTTATTTCAACGTAGATGATCTTTGATGTCTGGCTGCCTTTAAGACACTTTCTTGGCTTTGGTATTCTGATTTCACTGTCAAGGTGTTACTTGATTTTTATATACTCTGTGGTGTGATACTTGATCTAGGGATTCATTTTAAAATCATTTCACAGTTAATATATGTCTTCATACAATCTCTTCAGGTTGTTTTTTGTTTTTGTTTTTTTATGCCAGGAATTCCAGTTATTCTACACTTGACCCTCTAATTCTATTCTTTTTTTCCCTCTTAAGGCATTTTTATGTTGAATCTACTTGAATCTCTTCAGCTGTCTGGTCTACTGTTGATTCTTGATTTATTTATTTTTATAACTTTCATATTATTTAACATCTACAAGTTCCTTTCAGTTATTTTTAAAAATAAACTAGCCTTTTTAAGTGGAATATTTTCTC